GGGGGGGCGAAGAGACCTGAGCATTGTCTGTTTCAATAAGATAATAAGTAATAAGATATTTAATTTTCTATTTTCTCTCCCATAGTCTTAAAATATATTTCGAAAATGTTAACGTAGAAAATTTACCTCGCTATCTTGAATATAATTTTTGAAAAATATGCTTTCTCTTTTCTTAAACGGGAAATTCATATCCTAAATCTTTAGATTCTCTCATCCTCTTTTTCTTATTCATTTATGCATGTACGAGGTTTGTTTTTACCAATGTCTAGTAATCAAAAAGAAGCTTTCGTCTTTTGAGACGCAAATTTAAATTCAAATTCAAATTTCTTTTTTGGGAGTCAGCTGCCAAGTCTACTGATTTATACTGAATGCAACTAGAACGCAGGATTTCTCTATCTCGGTATGTCTTCATCTAGGTCATCATCAATTGTCAGCACACCCCTACAGAATCAAGTAAAAGTAGCAGGTCTACTAGATGTAACTAGAATGCAGGGATTCTCTTTCTCNAATCAAGTAAAAGTAGCAGGTCTACTAGATGTAACTAGAATGCAGGGATTCTCTTTCTCGGTACGTCTTCTAGGTCATCATCAATTGTCAGCACAGCCTGTGGAATCAGGTAAAAACAGGTCAGTCTAAAGCTTTGGTCCTCATTAACACACAAGCACAAACGTAAGAGTCGAGTCTACGCCCTCACTGGGATATTCAGTGACATAAGCATAAGAATAAGCACAAGCTTTAAAACGAACTGAACGCTGTGATCCTTATGCTTATGCTTATGTCGCTGGCCATATCACACAACGAAATTTCCCCCGGGGGGAATTTGGGTAGGGGTGTTCCGCTGGCATTCTGAAAGGGGTACCCTGTTTATAATAAAAAAAGTCAAATTTGTATTGTTTTTTTGACGACCATAAAAACCAGTTTCGGTCAATATGAAAGTAGAAGCCCTGAATATGACAGGCAACTCAGGAAGAACTTGGAACTTGAGTGAAATTGCATACCCTGTTTATGACAAGAAGCTCGAAAAAAACCTTACCCTATTCAGCGGATCATCCTTGTATAGTCCATATATAGGGGTTACCCCCCCCCCCCGGGGAAATTTCTAGCAAACGCCGATCTTACTTCAGCAACAACGACTGCAATATTGAGCGCAATGTTGTCGCTTGTCTGTTTGCGCCCAATGTTGCATGCAGTGTTGCCCGGTGTGTCCGCTGCTTAAAGTGACGTCACTTTCTTTCCCTCAGAATATAAAGACAAGAAAGACCAGCATGCAATGCTTACCAGGAATGAGAAAAATAAGGCAGAAGCCGAAAGCAAGTGCCAAATGTCGTGGTCATCGTAGAAGCCAAGTAATCGGCACTCTCTGTTACCTTCACGTGACTTTGCGGGGCTTTTCTAGAGAGAGTAAAAGAAAAACTATACTTTAGTACGACTGTATGATACCTGGTCACTAAGTTTAAATTTGAATGTACCGGATAAAGTGAAGAGTTTGATCACAGGTTGAGGGAAATACTGTTTTAGGGAACATGAACAGTAATTAGTCCTGTGGTTTTGGTTATGGTAGTTTAATCCAGTATGTATACCGTTAATGTGACATAAGCTGCAATAAGAATTCTGCTATGTATATATACTATAAAAAAATATTTATGAAAAWTTGAAAATTACGGAATTTTACCTGCCATGAGGTCAACTCTTGGAAGAAAAAAATTAACGCAAGAATCCAACAGACAAGAGAGAGAACAGAAACTACACAAGGTAGTACGAGAATATGTTCCTTGTTCCTGATCTATAAATATAGCATAAAGAATGTTAGAACGTAAGAAGATAGCGTGCGTATTGGCCCAGTAGGGTGGGGGATTGGAGAGAAGAAAAGGGCTGTGGAATGRAGGATGAGGGAAGGTGTGGGAAGGTGAATACTCGTAAGCTAAGATATTAGAGTGACCACAGTAAATCCGTGAAACACTTATTACTATATACCTTAGTGTCATACCTTAGCGTTATCTATTTTCTAAATTCTTCAAGAAATTTAAAGGTACTTGTCAAATAACTGGAGTACTTTCAGGTTTAGTATGATCCTACAACTGGCTACTTTTAATTGCAAAATTAGTTGAACATCTCTTCATTAAATGCTATAGTATTGATATAATTAGTGGCAGTAGTATAATCCTCCTCTGTTAGCTTATTATACAAACTTATCATACCTTCATGATGACATAGAACCCCACATAGAGAAGACCATTGACAATTAATATAGCAAGCATATATGTTGCAAAGTCTTTTGGCTCGTACACAACACCACAAATAGCACTAAACAATGAAAAGAGTTATGTACTTATTAATACTTTTAGGCCATAAAATGTTCTCGAACTTTAAGGGGCCAGAGTACAGGTATCAAAATATTACATTGTAGTGCTGCAAATTACATCCTTTCTACTATTTGCAACCTTTTTTTGTTGCACATGGTAGTAATACAAGCACTATTTGATTTGCAAAATTGTGTGATATTGTCAAAACTTTGTAAAGCTTTGTACTATTTAGTTTGATCTTTGAGACAGGGTTATTTTTGGTTGCATGTTAGGTCATAAGAGCCATATTGGTTAATATTTCAACAAAGTATTTCTCAACACAGCTGCTGTTTCATTGTTATATATATCTCAAGGGATTTTGAGTCATGTGGTTGCACCCCATTACAAGAATAGTTAAGATCTTTACAAAACTATTGTGACTATGCATTTGTGTTTGTAGATTTCAACAGTCTCAACCTCCATGTCAATTCAAGGAAAGATATGCTAGAGGGCGTACCATACACCCATAAAAGTTTTGTTAGTAAGTTCAGTAGACAGTACTGACCTACAAACCTTAGCACTAATTCCTACAATTTCGTTAGTTAAATCTTTCAGGGATATAGAGTGCAAACAATATAACCGTGAAACTTTAGTAACACTAAATAGCACAATTTCATGCAAATTCCATTGTTTTTTATTGTTTCACTAGCACTATTTTGTACTATTTAGTAATTAGTGTTTCACCGATTAATTGTTTGCAATCTAGTATGCACTCTACGGTAAATTCATTAAATTATGAAGAAAACATTAGTATATTCAGTTAGGTATTAATACAGGACTAGACTACGCWGGCTAATACTGTTTTGTTTTTACTTCAAAAGTAATTTTTTTTAAAAACAAGTGAAATAATTTTAACATCTCACAATAAAGCTGAAATTAGTCACAAATACCAATACAAATATGACAAAATTAGTTTAATATGACAATACATCATTCACGAAATACTACTATATATGTGTAACAAGTTACTGCATACAACACAATTTGCAATGNTGAAAATTATCTGCTGAAAGTAAACTTGTAAGTTTGTTTGTCCGAATTTCGCCTTTGTCTTCGTTTTTATGACATCACGGCTGCGCTATTAATTGTTTGCACTCTAGTATGCACTCCACAGTAAATTCATTAAATTATGAAAAAAACATTAGTATATTCAGTTAGGTATTAATACAGGACTAGACTACACAGGCTAATACTGTTTTGTTTTTACTTCAAATTTTTTATTTTTATTTAAAACAAGTGAAATAATTTTAACATCTCACAATAAAGCTGAAATTAGTCACAAATACCAATACGAATATGACAAAATTAGTTTAATATGACAATACATCATTCACGAAATACTACTATATATGTGTAACAAGTTACTGCATACAACACAATTTGCAATGCCTAATAGTGGGATACCTGTGGCAAAAAATGAAATATATACATGTTTCAAATGAATATCATTGCCTTTCGTTTTCACAATAATATATTTGAGCATTTTTAAAAGCAGAGATCATGATTGTTATTATCCTTTGCGATTCCTAAAAGAAACATTTTTAATTTACTGTTTAAGAGACCGTCTAACTCTTCTTCTCAGTTTTTTTGGGTAGAAGGACAGCTTGGATGTTCGGCAGTACGCCTCCTTGCGCGATCGTCACACCACCAAGTAACTTATTCAACTCTTCGTCGTTTCTCACGGCTAACTGCAAGTGTCGGGGGATTATTCTGCTTTTCTTGTTATCACGAGCCGCATTTCCAGCCAACTCGAGGATTTCTGCGCTCAGATATTCAAGCACTGCGGCCATATACACTGGAGCGCCAGCACCAACGCGACTAGCGTAGTTCCCCTTACGAAGAAGGCGATGAATACGACCAACAGGGAATTGAAGTCCGGCACGCGAAGATCGAGTCTTCGATTTGGTTCCCTTTGCCTTTCCTTTACCACGACCAGACATTTTTTTATACAACTTGATTTGAAATATTTTTAAGATTCTTTTAAAATCTTTTAAAAGGACGTGCTTGTTTTGGGCTCTTGTTTTGATACTTATATAAGGTATGACGTAGCGTCGGATCTAAACCCACCAATTGAATCACAAAATTCAGTTTCGTCTGATCCAAAACCCGTATACGTCATGTCATATTTWTTATATACCTGTTTTAAGCTGTTTCCTTTGAAGTAAGTTTCATTATTCACCAATGACAATGGAGTATTTTCGATCCGCATATCAATTGATCCGGTTGTTTTGATCAGATAAATAGCGAGTCGTTTCAATTACTATGCCAGAATTTTTTCACTTTCATAATTATCTATAAACGCATAAAGTCCCATCATGCCCGCTAAAGTTGCAAAGAAAGGCGAGAAGAAAGCTGGGAAAAAAGCTGCCATAACGGGCACTAAGAAGAGATCTAGAAAGAGAAAGGAAAGCTACGCTATATACATTTACAAGGTTCTAAAACAAGTTCACCCTGATACCGGTATCTCAAGCAAAGCCATGATCATAATGAATTCGTTTGTGAACGATATATTCGAACGTATGGCAACAGAGGCGTCGCGATTAGCACACTATAACAWGAAATCAACCATAACCTCCCGAGAGATCCAAACAGCTGTTCGATTACTACTTCCTGGTGAACTGGCGAAGCACGCAGTAAGTGAAGGAACGAAGGCTGTCACTAAGTACACCAGCAGCAAGTAAAGATCCAGACAAACTTTACTCCCGTTGAAAATACCATAAAAATAGTTAAGATTTGTCAGGCCCCGTCAGATGGCTTGCAAATCAGCTACTTGATGAAGGAACCCAATTCGTTCGCTGGATCCCATACCATTTCCAGTAATGTTATCATTTTGTACAATGTTATATTCCAAAATTCAATACAAACAGTTACAGTTCGTGGTTTTAAAATGTTATACAAAACTGATACRATGAAAATGTTACAAATTAAATCGTTATGAAGTACTTACAACATCCAGTTGACAGCATTTGCTATGATCAAAAGCAACATTCTGTCCTGGAAAAATATAAGTAGCAATAGTAGAGTTTAATAACACTTTATTGCATTAAAACAATTGTTGCATTTGGGACAGTTCCTATACATTTCGTATTATTGACCCCAATACCTCAACTTGAAGCAATAATTGTTTAAATGCAAGATCATTTATTTGTACAGAATAAGAAGAGCAGGAAATAAAGGTTCTTTTAACATTTAGTCTTAACATGTTTATTGTCATGGACAGGTTTAAGGGTGGGCCCAAGGTTATGCTCCCCTTTCATTTTGGTGAGTAACAGGGTGCTTTTCATTAAGTTAAACCAATTGGTCCAAGTTGCCAGTTCTGAAATGGTATGCATCAGTTCTTAGATCTATACCAATGCACCCCAAACTGGCCCCTAAGCAACTTAATAGAAAGCACCCAAAATGATGCTGAAGTTTTCAGGCCCCTCTCCCTTAATCTGATTCACACCTAAGTGCTGGGTGTTGAAAACTTACCCTGTAAGCAGGACAAGCACAGCAGTCATATCTCAGGAAAAACAACAGTCTTGTCAACATACCAGATTCTGCCAAATTGAAAATTGTTAACTGCTATTTTCATAACCATGCAAAGTCATTAGCTATGAGCTGCATGCTGAAGTTTGGTTTTTCACTGCCATCAATCAAAAATTTGAAAGGTACTGACTGATTAGTGGTGATTGACAAACCCTATTTCAATGTGGAGCTAGCAATTTCGCATGTTGCATGCTTCCTCCAAAATCATCACATTCTTGTTAATTCAGTGAGTGGCATTTGTGGGTAAGAAAGACGCATTTTTCAGCATCTTGAAATCAGTTTATAGGAAGCATGGATGGTATAGCAGTAAGAGCGCTCACCTCTCACCAAGGCAACCCAGGTTTGACCTGCCATTTAGGGACCATGCGTCATTCCCTTGAGAATAAGTTCCAAGGTATGACCAAGCTATTAAAACTAATTTGACCAGCCCTTATCCTTAGCTCTGCAAGTCCCCTCCCAAAAAGGAGGCAAGTTGGTTGCTCATTTCAAAAATGGCTAATTAGATGTCTCATTTAAAACTTACCAAATTTAAGTCTTCCCATGTAGTACAACTGGGAGCTCAAATATAAGGATATCGTAATATGGATGACACAAAACACAGACCAAAACAAAGTGGAACTAAACAACTGGGAATAAGAAAGACCATAATAAAAAGATTAAAACAAGTACAAACACTAAAAGCRTGCAATYACTTTGCACTATRTGATGTTAAACCARGGAGGTGATTAARCATTAGAATTAGCATAATTKAGTACTATTAGATTGAGGGTTTTTCTCTGCTTTACTCCCCCACAACTTTTAAATACTAATTTCATCATTGGTCTTTCATCCCTGAAAAGTATGGWGCTTAGGGCTCTGTTGTGATTGTCSCATGCTATGAAAYAACAGCCAAAGATTTGCTTAGGTAAGATGTGCAAAAAGCTGATCCAGGAATTTTTTACTACTGTTKTATGAAGGGTGAATAGTGCTATCCGATGGATAAATYCTTATCCAGTAGATAAGTCGATGSTGTTATCCAATAAATTTATCRACTGGATAAGATTTATCCATTGRATAGCGCTATCCAACCTTCATACAACTGGGTCCAGGTGGTTATGAGGCAGGAGCAGCTGGAAATCATGAGAGGCATTTGGGGTCTAGGTTATAAATTCTCAAGGCGAGGGAGCTTAAAATTCTCAAATTCATCACAATACATGACTTGGATTTTAGCCCTACAAATGCCTAGGGTAATCTAAGTCATGTCACAGCTAATTTACAGAGCAAATCAAAATTTAGTAAAAAAAAATATTGCAGTTGCAGAAAAAATATTACCACTGCGAGTATCCCTGTAAGCWGAGTAGTATGTGTAAGAATAACTGRAACTTACCACTCCAACGACAGCAATAAGGATAATGCYAGCAAACAAGACATACACTSTGTGTGCACTGCTGACAATATCAGGGTGTCTCGTTTGGTAAACTTTGACCATTCCCAGACATGCAATGATATACATGAATGACGTATCTATCATAAACAAAAATCACAAATAAATATCTGCATACACCAAATTGAAAGAGCTTGTCGGGTTAAAAAAGGTTCAATCGCCACATCTAAAACCAAGAGGTATTCTGGGTAAACAGTAAATGAGGCTAATATTATGAATATTAAGAGTAAATTATGCATATTACTTTTTTGCAGCTGTCAAACGTTATTCAAGTTACTGAACAAAGCAGTTTTTCACTCAATGCATGTATCTAGAAAATTCAAGCACTCTCCAAATGCAAAGGATATCGACTAACCAGAACACCCCTCAATCTTAGCTTCAATAATTTATAACCTTTACAACCTGACAACATTTTTCTCAATTTGGTGTAAAATATGTATTAAATATGTAATTGTTGAAGCATTTAGAAATCTTATGATATTATGTCAAAGATAAGCGAATTAAAGCAAAATGGCTTACCAAACTGGAAATTAGAATTGTTGGGACAAACATGATAACAAGCACTAAGTACTCCTTCCATCACAAGTGCCATGGCTAAAGAAGAAATGAAAAGTTTAGAAATATCATTAGTGAAACCATGAGGACAGTGGCTGTAAAGCTAACTTCAAAATGGTCCTACAACCTAACCTACAACAACAGGGCAGAAAAACAACAACCCTGCTACTTTCACGATTTTTTTATTTAACTGAGTTTAATRCTCCAAATTTTTTAAGCATTTCATTTGTGTCACTGCTGCAGKAAAYTTGTGACGAAATTTTGTCRAATKAAAGTAAATCTACTTATTAGYATTCAYRAAAATGTYGGTTTTTCTGCTGATCGAAGTATCACCTCTCCCAAAGTACATGGCTTTATATCTCAAATAMGCATTCAATAAACTTTGGTCGCATTTTATATTTKGCTATTTGGCTCCAAAAGAACGTGTTTACAAAATATTGAGMTTAAATATGTAAAGCTGTCCTTAKRGMGAARGGCCAAAAACCRTTTTTCTGCCCTGTCACCAACAACCCATTAGTACGATAATGTTCAGGGTGACGTTATTGTCACATTACCACTGATATTTCCATCTTTCTATAGTTTATATATTTTTATAGTTGCTCTTAAAAATATCTGCAAATGGTTAGACCTTTGCCCTTTGACTTAGATAATCACATAAAATGGGTGTCCCATCTCATTCAGAAACATACATAGAGGGCCACAAAATTATCATTGCAATTAAAGTTGCAGCTGTCACATGTCACCCTTTCTAAATAAAGTYGATTATTATTTGRTTATTATCTTTGAAAGCATTCACTGGACATAAACCATTTTCTCAAACAAACTCTATTCTAAATAACTTACCCATGGCATAAAAGAGTTCATAGTGTTTTGGAATACCACACGACTGAAGAGGAAAAGYCAGTTCATTAAAAATCTTTATTTAAGTGTCAAGTCGTTGTACGCTTTGGCACTTATTGGGAACACTTTTTCACTCATACACACTACCACTACATTCAATGCTTTTTGCATGCAATGCTCAATTCACAAGTTGATTTTTATGGAGGGAGGAAACGGGAGAACCCAAAGAAAACCCACAGTTACCAGAGTAATAGCACTAATACTAGCAATACACACTCTAATAGCAAGGACACAATCAGGGGAACCCTCTACCTAGACTTTTCTCTATATAAACATTTTGATTGCAAGCAATGTTGCTGAAGTAGGTTCATTTTCTACTTCARCAACAATGCGTGCAACAAATTGCCTATATATTGCCTGCAACACTGTGCGGAATGTTGCTTGTGTGTCCTTAGCTTAACATCTTGTTGCAACACTCAAAGAATATCATGAGTATATTTTCCATCAAGTCTATGTAGCATTTCAAGACCATATAACTAATTGTTGTTTCTTGTTACAAACAGACAAAGGTTATTACTAACTGTTATTATTATTATTATGCCTTGCATGAATGAAATGAAAAATCAAAGCCCACCTTCTCTTGTATGTCCTTTGAAGCAATAGCTTGCTTGTGAAGTCGATCTCTGAAAGAATTCAAATAGAACCAGTTTAATAGAATTCAAAAGTTCATTGGATACATTCAATCTTCCCCTTTTCCAAATCCAAATGCAGGGGTGTTGTCAAGGTCTTGGTCAGAAGGGAGGAGTTTCTTAAGGTACCAGTTTCCAGCCAATACAAATGCATACACTTTTCATTTTTTTTACTTTTCCACCATATTTTTTACAGGTCTAGTAAAAAAACGGTGTGGAGGGGGTGGGGGGGAGGGGGAGGCAACCTCCTCACTATACCACTATCCAAATGTCAATAACTCTCAAATCATCTTTTCTTTCCTTTGCTTTGTACCTTCTAAGGACAATGAAAAAGAACAAAATTCCAAGCAAAATATATCCAATGTTGCTGTACACGTTGTTGAAGGCACTGAAAACAAGAGAAATAATATAAACAAGGTTTCCTCCATAACAAGGAGAACACTGAACAATGGTCAATCCAAAACAATTTTACAGGGGGGGGTGGGGTACCATTTACCTAGAAAGGCATTTCCTTTTCAGATTTTGCCTTATTTTTTATTACAGGGGTGGATCCAAAGGATGGTCACGAGGTGCCAATGACCCCCCCCCCCCTACTAGCTTGGAATTGAATTGAAACATTAAAAAATGTTAATTGTTAAAAAGGTACATTTCCTCGATTGTGATCCCTCTACCCAAAATCCTAGATCTGCCCAGGCATGTTATTCCTATTWTTTTCAAAACCTTATTTTCGATCTCCAAGAAGGATGGCTAGCCACCAAATCCACCCCCCGGATCTACACTTAAGGTTTACCCTGAAAGCAGAGTTTTGGAAGAGGGTTTTCGCTAACAGGGTAGCATAACAGGGTAGCATAACAGGGTAGAGTAACAGGGTAGAGTAATTAAGGATGAATACTCTAGTCCTAACCTCAGCAGTCCAGCTGGATGGGCACAGAGGAAATTATAATAGCAAATATCTTCATCACCACTGCTTCTCAAGACCTAAAAGACAAAGAAATACGAAGAAAAAAGGAAGTGTAAAAATACAAAYTCCAACAAAAGTTATAAGCCCACCAAGTATCAAGGGCGGATCCAGCCAAAATTTTAGGGGGGGGGGGGCTAATTGAGTTTAGGGGGGAGCTAATTGAGTTTCTTCCGTCAACACAACAGAAAACAATATAAAAAAGCATCATTTTTTTCTGCTGAAGGGGGCCCTTGAGTATAGCATACTAACGTTCTGGTAAGTAATCACGAGTTGGAGAACAGTAAGAGTGTAAAATACTGAGATGACTATCAAATTCCTGTAAAAAAAGAAAGTATTTATTAATAACTACGACAAAAGCAACAACGACAAATGACAGTTACTATGGCAACAGCATTACTGACCAGTGGTAAAGTTTGTACTTCTTTTTTAACTGCTTGCGATTTTTCTTCGACATGTCTGCCACAGTAACAAATGTCTGGAAGACAAGATCATCCCTCATTCAATTATCACTCTCTTGCCTTCTTAAAAATACTGTATATCTCCTATTATAGAGCCCCCTTTGGAGCTGTTTTCTACAAGGCGCCCCTCTTCTAATAAGCGCCCCTTACAAAACACAACATGTGCATCGACCCTGTGGGGATGTGCACATGCTAAGTGCATTTATAGCATGTGAGGGTATAAGAGAATGTTGGGAGAAACACAACAACAAGAAGTTGCTGTGCACTAAATAAATATAAACAAATCATCTTTATTTTATAGAGGATAAAAATTGACTGTAATTCAAATTATAAACTCATGGTCCTCATCTTTAGTCCATTAGGGACAGCACCGCCATTGACATGGCCATCTGAGCCAATTGAAGGTCTATTCCAACCAATCGGAATGAGGGATTCATAACAGTTATTTTGTAATTTTTTCAAGTCCTTACCCTGAGTCTATAGATATCCTTTTCATGTTCAAGATCATGAAGCATATCATAATCTTTTTCRATATGTTCCGTYGATGGCTCTGGGAGGCTCTCRCTATCATATGCATGCTCTCTYATTTCTCTGTTTTGATCTYGTACCTCAGGGGTTTCATTCAATTCTGGAAATTATACATATCAAAAGACCTTAGGTTAGCACTTTGGGCATRGCAAATTCTTAGGTGTTGCAGCTTGATTTGTTTAGTGAATTGACATTGTTCAAGCTAGTAATCTTTGACAGACAGAACCTTTGCAAGTTGTCACAATCACACAAACAGCTGTAATGCTGTCTGGTACAAACATTTGTCAGTAGTCTATTTGTACTTTACTATGCAATAGATAATAATAATGCAGTAAAAATCCAAGATACCAGTAAGAACTGTACATAAAACAGAAGATTTAGGGAAAGTTTTCAAAGCAGATAATTCAATTATTCTAAGACATTAAAATTCATACCTTTTTGAACAGATCCGTACTTGAATCTAGATCCTGATGTCAAGGATCTTGCTTCCACMAGTGGTGATAAGCTTTCATTTTCATCTATARATCCATTARGAAAGGTGAGATTTTATGGACAAAAATACATTATAAAATAAGATATAACGCGCGCTCTGATTGGTCAATTACTGTTTTATATAACTCAAAATAGATCGTGAGGAAATGACGTCAGCTACACGCGCAATGTTTTGTTTGTTTATTATGTTATTTTTAAACTCCCCCTGCTCGTGCTATGTTGAGTAATGCAAGCACTTGGGAAATTGCGTGAGCCCTCAAGAAGTGCCAAGAAACACTTGCCTACTGCTCATGCTCCTCTTAGCACTTCTCTCTGACTCACGCAATTTACCACGTGCTTGTATGACTCAACATAGCATGCACGCTTGTTTTCTATGTCTTTAACATCACTGATAGCTCGAAATTAAATTTTCAGGAAAGTGCCTGGCATTARGTCAAAGTAAAATGGTCACCAAATAGTTGATTTTGGTCTCCACTGTCCACTCTTTTTTAGTTGTGAAACAAGTTAATTATGCTTTAGACCTCTCACATAACACTGAAATATGTTTCAAAGCCCCCTTTCTTATTCTGTTTGTTTTTTCAGACTTTATATCTTTTTGTAAAGACTCCCATAAATTCTACTGCCCCACCCCTCCTGTACAAAATGGATGGGCTTTAAGAAATCATGACTGGCAGCAGATCCAGGATCCTAAAATGGGGGTTCCAAAATGGCTGGCACACAGAAAAAACTGGTGTGATCAGCTTCACAATATTAGGGGTTCCAATTCTGTTGACAACTGAATGTAAAGAACATGATCAGCTTCACAAGATCTCACTAAGAGTGGGTTTCATGACCTTTCATGGAACCCAACGAACCACCGCCAGACTTGTACCCAGTCGCTTCTCTTGTCTTATTGATCTCACACTGTGGTTGATGGGAAGGACTTAGTGAGTTCCCGGTGCATCAAGGGAAAGACGGAAGAGAAAAGCCACCAAAAGCCACCGCACACATTAAAAAAGCGTGAAAGAGCATGAGTGAGTGACTTGAAAAAGTACGAGTGAGTGATGACTGGGTGCAAGTCTGAACCACCTCTGAATATGCTAATTTGTTGTTCCCAAAAATATCCATACCCCACCCATGAAGGGAATTAGAAATTCTGGAGTGGGTCAGAGAAAGAACAAAATTACAGAATTTGTATGGTAGAAAATTGGAAGTTCCTGGGGGTAGTGGGGTCATTTTACAAGTTCCATCCATGGTGGGTATAGATATTTTCTGTAACTACACAAGGATTACTGATATGCTCTTTATTCAGGTTTAGCTTGATGGATGTTTTTACCTTCATCTTCTGTTGAAGGTGCTTTCTTGGGCATTAAAATAGCTAAGAAACTTCTTCCTGGTAACCCTTTTTGTCTTTTTTTAAAAAAAGTAAAAATATTAACTCAAAGAAATAATAATACTGATGGCAGTTAATGGTATCACTGTCTAAATTCAGAAAAAAAGTATCTGTATCAGGCATTTTATAATTCCTGGAAATAACCAAATGTTCCTGAAAATCAACTAATGGTATAATTAAAAATACGTCCTCTTTTCACAAGGGTAGCACTTAACAGCCAGTGGGTAACAAACCTGTGGCCCTCATTCCGTGATAGAATTGGAATTTAGGAGTTGATTTTTTCAGAGGGAGGAAAAGCGGCAAACCTGGAAAGCCCTCAAAGCACAGGAGAGAACCAACAAACAACTCTACTCACATACAACACCGAACCCGGTGGGACTCGAACTCAGGTCACATTGATGAGAGGTGAACACTCACAAGGCTACGCCACCTGTGCTTCCCAAATAATATTACAAAATRTGAATTTTTATTTAACCCTATTGTAATTTGTACTTACTAATTGCACCAAATTGCAACGATGGAACAGAAAGTAATAACATAAAACAAACCAAACACAAAGATTGGAAACACTATGGCTSTGATGTAATCCTTGGCTGAAAAAAAAGAAGGCAGAAATGTGATATTAATTAAATATAACAGGAGCTAACACCAGTGTATAACTCTAGACTTTCCTGGAATCACAATAAAGCAATGCAAGTTCTAGCTGATACTAAAAAATGTATATAGATAAAAAGATGATTTTATTCGAGGGAATGACGTATGGTCAGAAGACAAAACAGGGCAATCTGTCATATCAGTCTACTTTCCCAATGATCATTCACTATATAAATAATTTATACCCAAAAGACAAATTAATAATCTCAAGCATTACTGGTAAAGAAAGAAATAATATTCAAGGGAATGAAAAATGGGAAACATTGAATGGAGTCCCATTAAATAGTTTATATTTTAAAGGACAAATTATTAATACCTCTCATGCATTACTGGTAAAGAAAGAAATATATTCAAGGGAATGAAAAAATGGGAAACAGGGATGGTCTACTCTCACGTGTTTAGTGTTCATGTGTACACTTCCTAGAATATATATCCACACCTCCCTTTTATACCCAGAGGACAAGTTATATGTGACCAAAACCAATCACGACATAGAGTGCAAAGGGATGTCGTGCAAAGGGGAATCAAACTTAAGTCAAACTTGAACCAATCAAGAGCAAGCAACAAAGGCTAGATATCTGGAAAACACTGAGATATCATCAACAACTCACTGGAAATTAGAGTTTGTGATTGGCTGAGTTCAAAATGATATTGATTCTGCTCTCTTCTTATTGGCTAAAGTCTTTATGGTATAAATTTTGTTTAAGCAGTCACAGTTAGTATGTCCATGCTATAAAGGCCAAGGGATGTGCACACCTAATAACCAATAAACAAATGTACTTGAGTTTCAGGCTCTAATATATAGCWTAACATACCTGAGAGAACATGTTCAATTTTGATAGTTATGAATTTTGTGCGAGCAATTACAACAGATGGTTACTCTGAATGTAAAACGGAAAAGCAATTAATTAGAAACACTTCATTCTTACCATTTAAAATATTTTAAATTTATTTTTTTATTTTTTAGTCGGTATATAGTATTAAGCTATGGACACAGGTTACAACATTGAATGCAGCATATTGCAGGAAGTTGATTTTGTGAGCCACTATTTCTGTAGTAAAAAATGATACTACTTTAGCAATGTTGCCTGTAATATTAAAAACAGAGTTGCACTGTGTGCATAGCCAGAGTTACAGCACTAGCTTCTTGGTAATGAGAAACAGTTGAGTTCCATTATCCTTTAATCCCATTATGTTTCTCATTCCCAGGAAGCTTGTGCTGTTACTATGGCTAGAAAAACCTGGTGCATCATGTTTAATATTGCAGGCATTGTCACTGTTCAAAATAGGATCATTTTCTACTTCAGCAACYTAATCATGCAGAGGAGTTGCAATCTTTGAGGCTTTCCCATTTTAACACGATAACAAATGTCAAGGATTTTGGATTAAACGGATAGCTTTGATAAAACATGTTTCAGCTAACTAGTGATATCCTTCATAGTCTTCATTAAACACCTCACCCAGAGCACAGGGTGCACGTGCACCCCCCATAAAAGCTTAAGGTCCGCTCACCTATCTCCATTTGCTTTAAAATTGCATATCACTCACCCATTATTGCTTCTTTTTGTTTAAGGTTCTGCAATTTTTTTTTTTGTTCTGCAATTTTCATTTTGGTCCTCCAATATCATTTTCATTTTTGTTTTTGGTTTTGCAACTTCATTTTGGTTCTGTAATAGTTCCATTTCCGTTCYCTGTGCACCCTCCCTGCAAGATCCCTGGTTACGCCCCTGACACCACTGTATCCAAAACATCATGATTTATATATAAAATAATACCTTTAAAGCCTTTTGCCTGGTTGTCTTGGGGTGAAATGGGGTTTGCTGTTCTGTAGCCTGTCTCACATTCAGTGTCCGTTGATTTTACCATAGCAACTATATAAAACTGGCTCATCTCTTTTCTCTGTTATCAGAACAACAATTTGAAAAAAATGCCAGACAATTCAATAACTTTCTTCAAAAAYCAATCCTAAAACATCTTGGTCTGAACAACTGGACATCTGGGTCCCCACATCTAACACAAAAATGTTTAGAGATAAAGCTTTCTCTGTGTGTGCAGCAGATCCCAGAATATATCAGACACATTGACCCTCTTAATGCATTTAACGGTATAAACATTTRTCTTTTAAAATCTGTACATTATTAAATATATAATTATACAGCTTCTCATTAACCCCATATAGGTAACTGTCCAATTATTTTCTTAATTGGACAGGTCTTGTTGATATGGGGTTAATTAGACAGCTATATAATAATTAATAGGTAATGGGATTTCATGCTCCCCAAACAAGAAATAATTAGACTCGAAAAATTCCTCTGACTGCCAAATTATTGGACTCGGCCTACAGCCTCATCCAATTTTGGCAGTCCTCGGAATTTTACTCGTCCAATTAAGAAAGCATGGAGTCCTATTACATATACTAATATGATTGCTTAAGACAAACACCACTACCACCACCTCATCTCAAATAGACAACTTTTTTTCTGTTGCACAGATTCTATTCCCATTTCACACTTTATTCACTGATCAAAAAACCTGTTGGTAAATTTGGTGTGAAACAGAAATGAAATAATCCTCAGTGGAGCCCATTAAAAAAAGGGACTGCAGACTTTCAGAAAGTCTAACCTGGATAGTGATAGCAGCTTTCCTTGTCATGGTTTGAAAATAGCCAGTAAATTCTACGTTTCTGGCCAGGTCATATACAGGGCACTGCAACAAAGCATATTTAAAGTAAAGTTGAATAATGTAATATGGTAAATTTATTTTTTCATTAAAATGTAAACTGAACCCCTAATGCACTATTTCAATTTGGTTTTTTTTCTTCTCGTATAATGGTTAATATATTGCATTGAGATATAATTTGTAATTATATTGCTTTCAATAAAATAATATGATATTCAAGGTACTATACACGGGTGAGGTGCACCTCATAAGTAACCCCTTGGATAATAGATAACCCATCTCAAAAAAACCTCTACTTTATATCCTATTATATCCTTATTTATACTCATTTTACCTTCATTTCAGTACAGTTTTCGTTTCAAAATAAAAATGCTAAAATTTTCCTTAGGACTACCATCTTTCCATTTGGAAATTTTGAAAAAAATCATTTCGAAAAATGAATAAATAAATAAGGGGGGACTATACTATTAAAGAATTACCTGAGTGTTCTGTATTGATAATATTGCACAGTATTCTGATGTTGATGATGCAACTATTCGTACAGTATCTACACCGTCTGGAAAATTGAAGACTTTGTACTGAAAAAAAAAAGAGTAAAATATAAGTTCTAGAAGATTGCATTTTTTATTCCATTGATAACTAAAAATATAATATTTTGCAACAGAAGAAAATATACCATGGGTGCAGCAGGATTCACACTGAATTCAACAGCTGGTCCCAACCTTAAATCAAACATGAAAAACACGGTCTTTATTATGAATTAATGATGAATTATGAGAGGTAGTAAGTACAAGATGTAGGCACTGAGGGTTGTCACTGCAAGGCTTTCTTCACATTCTAAGTGGTTGTTTCACATCCCTCTGATATTGGTTAGTAATGATGAAGTGCGGTGAGATCATAGTCAATGGAGTGGAATGGATTGGAAACTCCATAGAACAATGGCATTGTTTTGCCTTTGATGTTGAATTGTACCATCACATGTTACTGACGGTGCAAATGAACCAAAGCAAGTATGGCTGAAAATACTCATTTCCTTATTATTTTCATGTATGAACATTTTGAAAGTAAAAACTTTCATTCAATGACCAAAAACCATGTGAATAAATATTTCTATGCAGATACAGTTAAGTTACTAGATGATATAAATAAGAAAGCATTAAAAAGGGCAATTTCATTTTCAATAAACAATTAATATTAATCATATAGGATTAATTAACAAATAATACATATTTTAGAACGATTTTTAAGGGTAAAAAACTTCTATATTCCCTAATACTGTGAACAAATGGAGAAACTTTTCCTTCACTGTGCACTGTCAACATCATATAACAATAGATAAAGACGAACAAAAACATAGAACAATAGGTTTCCTAACCATTCTGCTCCATTAACTATGGTGAGATGGGACTGCCATTTAAAAGTGGTTATCCAAGCCACTTGAAAGTCTTATCATTCATAGATGTAATTACAAAGTAGGTTATTCTAAGACACTGAGTGTTGGTCCTACTGGGGCTTGAACCCACAACCTCATGCATGAAAGTGCGATTCTCAACCCCTCGAGCCAACCAGGTGTTGGTTTTAGTATATAATCATTTATAGTATATTCATCCTTTCAAGGTATACTTTACCTCATTTCAAAATCTGTWAGGAAGTAGGCTTTCATCTTATATTTAACTAGAGTAGGAGATGCTGTAGCCACATGAACATGGAAATACTGTSGCTGATTTRAGGTKGCATTGCTCTCCAGCTTTGGRCACARGGTACGACTAGAATAGAGGTATTTRGTCCTAGGGATAAAAACAGTAACAAGCGTATGCTTAATAACTATAACTTAAACAAAAATATGTCTTGAGACGAGACTTAAACKGAGATACTGTATTTGCRTTTCTTATGTTATGAGGCAACATGTTCCAAAGCWTAGGYGCACAGATGGAGARAGYATAGKTACTATATGTACTAGACATAGAACRCAGGAYRACAAGCAAGCCCTTGCTTCTTACTTATTACAAGATGAGAAAAGAAACATCYAGATCTAAGGCAGAATGTGCAAGACCAATATTACTATGAGTTTAGTAAAAACTGTAGGATGTAAGAAAGAYTTTCATCCCCCAAAAGAGATTTATWRCCACACCCCTAGGAAAATCAATTATTGGGTATCTTATTTTAAAATCTTTTGACTCAAGTCCTTGACCATTCCTGATGTTGATAGACCTGTTTAGCTTGGACCTAATGTTTTCCCATTTTCCCATTTTCCCATTTTCACATTTTCCCTACCCCTCATGTGGCCTAATGAATTATTTAATGAACAGAAGAGATTGATCTAGATTCCTCATCCAGAAAAATTGAACCTTGTTTAACTCTAAAAATGTTAACATCCCATGGGTTTGCCCCCCCCCCCCCCCCCCCCGGCCCCCCCCGCCCCACGTCCCCACAGAGTTAACCCGTTATACCTACGGTTGGGGCAGCGTAAAGGTTCAGTGGGCTCAGCGGCACATCCCTACCCGAGGTACGCCTCTCTACCCCCCCCCCCCCCCCCCCCGTCTCACCCACCTACCTAAAACCTATGCCAATATATATACATCCTTACCCATCCTCTGACAATGTTGGTAATGACCAAGACAAAACTCCCTTCTGCAACCTTGCTACCAGCACCACTGGATTACTTGCCAAGGCATCTACMCTTGAAATATCCAATCTTACAGCCTGAACCTTTGTTAAACAYGATAATGGGGTTGCATTTAAATAAGCAAGTTTATACTTTACCCCTCTCTCTATTTTTACTCAGGGGGGAGGGGTTGGGAAAAGTATACTCCCACTAAATTTWCAAGTTTCAATCCCCAATTTTTAGTCTTATACATACTATACAAGTTATATATACATTTTAAATCTAGTTTCCTCTTCCAAGGTTGCTCTGTGGTTTCTAGCCCTGGYTATTCAAGTTTTTTCCCACTCTACTTCTGTAACTATGTTTTTTGCCACTCTTACACGTCACATAAGAATTCGTATGAAAAGTCAGCTCTATAAGCTCTACGTAAGTTCTTTATCKKGAGAAAAWAAAAAMWACAAACACTTCAAAAAAATTGCAATAGCCCGCCAAGATATTTCAATAAWTTTGAATAATTACGATTATTAAATTAAGTTACAGTAAGCTTAATTCGAAATAAAAGCTTGTGTAAACACGACAAAATGAATGAGCTGAAGGCATCAGTCTGTGCAAGACACATTAAAATATGTATATGGCGTTTTGTAAAAATTCACACTAATTTTACCATGTGCTTTASTTACCGTTGTATTTGAACGTGTATACTCATACTTCCACAGGTTGTCGAAATCCTTAGAAACGTTTCCATAGACAGTTTCATTGAAGGATTTCTTCAYGTAATGGAGATGAACACCTTTGACGAAGGAAACCTCTAAACCCAAGGCTAAAAATAACAGAAAAATACCCCAGCTAAAACCTGTTTGGAAAAGTAAATCCATTGTGAAGTTCTACTATAATCGTATAAAAGATTATATATGCTTAGAAAATTTCTATAAAGAAAGAAAAATAAATTTTAAAATCTCAAAATTATTGTTTTCGTTCCTGCGCCATTTTGCATTTTTATTTAGCTCGACTCAGGCTCTCGCAGCTAACCATATACAGGAGTCCCAATCGACAAGGACATTTTCATTCAGGACCTTTTTTTTTTTCACTCACTAAAGTACATTTCGAATGCAAAACAAAAACAATGACAATTTAAGAAAAAAACAGCGCATAGCATTAGGGCCACTTAACAATGGCTTCCTACTTTCCTCCATTCCCTCTTTTTATTTTCCCTTTCATCCTTCCATTCCCCTCATTAGCTTCTTTCTTTACCTGTTTTTTTTCTTATTTTAATTCTTTCAATTTTATTGGTAAAAAATTGGTCTTTCTCATTTATTTTTCTTAATAACCTGCTAGAAATATCTCCTCACCGAGCAGGATCCCTGTGATTATTAATGTTTTGGGCTTCCTTCGTCAAAAGCTAGGTCTCTAAGCTAAATGATCAAATTCAGGATGGTTGAGATTTCAAGTGTTTCTTCGCTATAATATCTGAAAGTTTTCATTAATATATTCAACAATCTAAAGCTTTAAATGGCGGGAAAATCACCATAAAAGATCCTATGTTCACTTCCAGACCTTCCAAGGTAAGATTACTAAATATTACTATTCGAGCGACAGTTATATTTTGGGAAATGTTCGATACGGGAAAACGTTTGATATAAGAAACTTTAACTTAAAATTGAATCTCGATTTAACCATAGTTACTATAGATTCTTCAACCGTATGCTTATTCTTGTGAGTGATATTTGACATTTTTATTATTATATATATATATATAATATAATTAACATTTTTCCCTATTTTATTATCTCTCCTGATCATAATTTATTCACGATTTATATATTATCATATACGATTTTTCTTAGGAGATTGACTTTTTAGGACATTGATTTATATGGCGTAATTTTTCTAAATATTTTTCTTTCATTGTTAATGGATGTGCGCGCTGTTTTATATTCCTAGTGGAATAATTTAGTGAATCGCGATACCTATATGTATTTATATATTTAAGCTTATCTATTCTTAAATATGTATTTTATCAGTTTTATTCGACTTTGATACAATAACAATAAATCTCAGTTCAGGTATTCAGTTATTAAGCTTTGCACACACAGAATTTCTTAAGGTATGGATGCGTCCTCGCAATACAATTTGGTTGATCTCCATAAAGGTTGATTCTACTTATATTAGGATTAACAACCACGGTATCGTTATGAGTAATTGCAACTGTGGCTTCAAAGAGCGCACCCATAGGCGACGTTTCCATGGTGATCAAGTAGTGCAAATCATCCTTAGTAGGCGTTCTATACCTTGGACTGCTGTTGTAAACTTTCTGGTTGGTAGAATGGAATGTCTGTACTTTGTAATTGGGTTCATATTTCATAACGCTATGGATCCTGACAAGGCTTATAACATGACACGCTCTCTTTAGCCTGGGACTGCTGGTCAGTCGTTTATTTATGTGGTCTACTACTGCTTGGGCGGATCCAATAACAGATTGACGTTGTGTATCATCAGGTGTAAACTGTAGACATGGGCACCAGTGTTCGTCTATACCTAATTGACAAGAGTAACATTTGATTACGATAGCTCCTAGAAATAAAAAAATACTGGACTAGTTCATCTTTGCAAATTTTGTGTCGTGACCGTGTAAGTAGCGTTTCCGAGCAATCTGATTGGATAAACCGTAACCTCGCATACTATAATTGGTACAACAACCATTATCATCATCATCACCACCACCGTCATCATCGCCACCGTCATCATCGCCATCGTCATCATCATCATCACCACCACCATCATTACCACCATCATCATCATCATCATCATGGTGCATCGTCACCAGCATCAGCATCATCACCATCATTATTATCATTATTACCACCATCGTCATCATTGTTACCACCATCACCATTATCATCA